CGGATAAGAAGCCACAAGCCTGCAGCAGTAACCTGCTCAGCGCAGGCATGGTGTTACATTGCAGCTTCGGTCACTGGGCTGAGCTGCTGCGAGTGCGTGTCACCGCAGGCAGGGGCCCTGGGTAACGTCTGGCAAAGCTAGTGTTATCACAGAGCGCGTCTCTAGTTCCTTGTTCTAGCTACACTGACCACAGACTTTGTTTCCTTCCCCAGGTAAAGGCCCCACAACGTTAATAATCAAGCTTACTTGCGCCCTATTAACCTCAGCCTTTATGAAAGATTTCAGAGCATGTTCTGTGCCTGCTGGCTTTCTCTGAGCTACCTGTTGGTGCGAGAGTGTTCTCGGCGTGCTTTTCCAGCTTTCGTCTGGTTCTTTGCTCATTGTCAAGTTATGCTGCCATCAAAAACGAAGGTGTAATGCTCTGTATCCATTATATGATCTAAGTTTAAATCTTAATAGCAGGACTGTTGTTTCAGGGCTGAATAAATGCTCTCCTATTTGTTTACTCGTCAGCTTTCCCATGTCCACTTATACCCGACGCACCACGTGATGTTTGCCGCTGCCAGCCTTGTACATAATAAGATAAGTGGTAACACGATTCTCGTCTTTTCCTTCCTAGAAGGAGTGGTAGTGAGTTAACGTCTGAACACATCTAGGTGGTGCTTTAAGAAAACGGACAAATAGCTGCCGGGATGTTTCTCCGATTACTGTCAGATGTCCGGTGGCGGGCGGCTAACTCAAAATGGAGAAGAATGACCTGCTCCCGGAGAAGTACCTCAAGTACAGCAGAACCTCACCCGGTTTCCTTGCCAGCGCAGGCGCAGGTTGTCATCTGTGGTGGTGGAATCATGGGCACCTCCGTGGCATATCACCTTTCCAAGATGGGTTGGAAGGATATAGTCTTACTTGAGCAGGGCAGGTAAGGATTTCTGGTAACAAAACCAACGAAACAGGACTTCCATGCGCAGCAGCACCTGCTGTAATGTGTTATTTCTACCTCTTCGCCTGGACTTGGACCCATGGAATAAGCTTACACTGAACATTAGTAACAACACTTACTACCTCTTCCCAAGCGCAGGGCAGACCTGCAAGGTGAAGGGTATCCCTTGTCTGGTTGCGGTGGGTTAGCCTTGGTGAAGGGCCAGACTCCCACACAGCCACTCACTTCCCCTCCTCAAGAAGATGGGGAGAAAGTAGGCTGAGAAAGCTTGTGGATCGAGATAAAGATGTGGAGATTGTTTACCGGTTACTGCCGTGGGCAAAATAGACTTGCCTTAGGGAGAATGAATTTAAAATAATATATTCGGGTAGTGAGAAACAAAAACCAAACATTAAAACACCACCTTTCCTTTCCCATGCTCAACTTCACTCCTGCACTCCAGGGTCTTCCACTGCCCCTGACTCCACCCCAAGAAGCGCAGGGGGTGAAGGGTGGGGGTGCAATCAGTACTGGGCTGCAGTTCCTGTCAGGAGAACTCTGCCCTGGCGTGGGTTTTCCATGGACCACAGTTCCTTCAGGAGATACCCATCTGCTCTGGCGTAATCGCAGGTAATCATGTAAAACATAATGCAGCTGGCAAAGATGGACCATTTTAAGAGAACTAAAAACCTCTGTAAATCGTCCAGCTCCTATTGGCCATCTCTAGAAGTAGGATGTGATACGTATATAAAGTATTACACCACTAGCAAAGCTCAGAAGAGATTGCAGGAGGTGTGGAGATTATAAGCAGACATCACTAAAACATCATCCTATAAGCTGGTTAAAGGCTGTGATTATCTAGTTTGTTGCATGATTGAGTGCCTATCTGTAAAAAGGCCAAGGCCATTACAGTTTGGCTGAATACAAGTCTTTGTGCGCTCTCCGGTGAGTTGGATCTGCAGTCTGTGGCAGAGTACGTAGATCCTGTTGAAAGCTGACTGTGCAGCCCTTACCTGTTGTTTAGGTTTGTGTTTCGGAGATGGATTCATGGTGTCTTCATTAAGTGATTTGGGGACCTTGGGCATGAGACAGTGCTGAGACTTTGGGGAGGTGTTTATCGCAGTAGCTTCTAACACTCTAAATAGGTGCTGGACTGAGAATATCTACCGTCTAGCTTAGAGCTTCCCACCTGATGCTGCCTTGAAGAATAATTAGCTGTGACTCCTCGACTTTGCATGGCTGGGAAGCAGGTAGTATCAAGTTCTTCATAGTTGCAAAGCGAGGGAATTGGGTAGTCTCATCTGAGACCTTGTGAGCGGTGTCCTTCTGAGTGAAGTTACCTGCTAGGCTTCATTTGTCAGGAGACGTAATCGTTACTAGCCTGGAGCAGGGTATGAATACCCTGTTACAGATCTTCATTGAGGTAGATGCTGTACAAGCTCAGTCTGTGTGTGTGCTCAAGGAAAAAGAAGAACATTGCGTAGCAGAAACGTCTTTTATGTGAAGCACAGCATGGTGAGACTATGCTTCAGCTGTCTCGGTTGTGATTGAGTAGGGATGCAGCAAAAAGAATGCCTTACTCAACTGATTCTTAGGTTGAATTTCTGAGAGAATACGGACACGCTAGGCCAAAAGCAGTCTTGTCAAAGGCTTGCATAGGCAAGTGGAAGAATGCAGGATTGCTTTAGCAGCAGGAAAGGTGACTTAGAAGTATTGTGGAAGCAGGTTGCGAGAGAGATGCTTAAATCTAACTGTCTTGTCTTCACCTGTCTGCTGCAGGGGGTTTTTAATAGGTTTCTATCTCTACAGCAGCCCTTCACCAAATAGCTGGATGGACAGTGGTTTCAGGGCAGTTTAAAAAGGGACAAGAAATGTGGGTACCGATCTATGGCAGTTGCTGCACAGTTAGAGGGACTTGTTCGTACTGTAAACTGCAGAGATGCACGACTGAAATCCAAGATAATTTTCATTTGAGGGAAATCCTGCTTTGGAGGAAGAAGGAATCAGGTAGGCAGGTTGACTTAAGCATAAGGTAATTTTTTTTTTAAGTGCTTCCTTTGAAAAATTTCAGTGTTTAGGACTAGTTAAAGAGAAATGGTTTTGGAATACAATGCGTTTTCAAAGGTGAGCTAAAGGAAAAGCATTCTAGAGGTTGCATTATCCCTGCATCATCCAACTTACAGCTTTTGGTCTGATGTGTTCGGGGGAGAGGTTGCGGTCTGGTTTGTGCTGTCAGCAGAGCTGCTGGGGGGTGCTTGCCTCTCTGCCTGTCAGCAGGATGAGGCCTTTGCAACTTCTCCTGCAGGTTGGCTGCTGGTACCACTCGCTTCTGTGCTGGCATCGTGAGCACAGCCAGGCACATCTCCATAGAGCTGAAGATGGCAGACTATTCAAACAAGCTCTACCAACAGCTGGAGCAAGAGACGGGAGTAAAAACAGGTACTGGAAGTGTAATTGTTGAGTAATCTGTGGGAGACTGAATCAAAGTATTGGCACTGAAACATGAATGTAATTTTACAGTGTCTTAAGAGTTGGTGGTTCCTGTTCAAAAACGATACGGTTGGACTGAATCAGACGCAAAGGGATGTTACTAATGTAATCAGAAGAATGGGAAGAAGGGTATGAGATGGGCAGACCGAAGGCAGACTACCTGCAAACTGTGATCATTTTTTATGTTGTCTGTAACTTGGGCAAACGTAGGTAAATTTTGAGAAGGACACTAAAAAGTATATTGCAGTGACTGGAGCAAATGGCCCATTTTCTGCACCGATTCACTTCTTAAAAAGAGAAGAAGGTTAACGGAAGCACTAAAGCATAGGCGAAGCAAGATATCTTACTCTAGTGTCACCCTGGAAATAACAGGAAAACGTGTTGAAATTCTCCCTGTGCCTCCAAAATGCTCAGGCATGTACCTGATAGGAAGAACTTGGTCACTGAAAGTTTTCTGCTGACAAGGACTTGATATATGTCTGACTCAACAGAGGTTAATAACTATGCCTGTAATTAAGATTAGTATTAATCTATTGCAAGTGGTGGAGTCACAAAGTGTCTGCGTTTAATTGTCAAGGTTCTATTCTTCTGAGCAGTTATTAGATCACTTTTTTGCCAGTAACCTCTCTCTGTTTTAATAGGTACCACGTGTGAAGTTTAATTTTTTTTATAAACATGAGTAAATGTAGTAGAAAGAGTTAGAACACAAGTCAGAATTAAATTGCTTTTTTGGAAAGTTGACTAACGCAGTCTTTAATTACTAGCTGATAAGTGTTTAAAGTTTTTTGGGGATCTGGGATTTCCAGTCTCCTGAGTAGTGGAAGCAACGGGTCTGCAATTATATTAAAGCAATGGGTCTGAGATTAAAAGGAATTCAAGATCCTGTCCAAATCTGACTTGACTTTGGTCATTGTCATAGGGTACGTGAAGACAGGCTCTATTTCACTGGCTCAGACTCAGGATCGACTAATCTCTCTGAAACGCATTGCTTCATCACTGAAGTACGTATAAGCAGGAAATATAACTGCTCTTAAGGTTGCACCAACTCTCCTGCAAAACTAATGACGGCATTTTTCTTATGTTCTGTGGCAGTGTAATGGGGATACCTTGTGAAATTATCACCCCAAAGCAAGTGGCACAGCTCCACCCACTGATCAACATCCATGACCTTGTGGGGGCCATGTATGTGCCAGAAGATGCGCTCGTGTCATCTGCCAGTGTGAGTCTGGCTCTGGCAACCGCTGCTTCACGGAATGGTATGAGGTTTTTTTATCTGTAGAGTGCTCTCCTGCATGATAGTTGTTTTTTTTTTTTTTTCTTCTTTCCATAAAAGAAAATTATGGTCTGCATCTCTTTTGGTATTCTAACTGACGACTGAAGACCAAAACCTGGTTATTTCCGTAAGGTTCAGAATCTTTAAAAGCTATTTTTTCTAAAAAAACAGGCTGAATTTTCTTAACATACTGAATTTTTACAGATCTGCTGTGATAGATCAAACACCAGTTTGTTGTCCTTACTGGTTATATATTTCTCTGAATAAGCACACACTCTTTTATCATAAAAACAATCCTTCGTAGGACCTGACTCAAAATTACACGTCAAAAGAGTTTTACCTATGAATGAAAAGGTGTGACTGAGTCCTTGTGGAATATTTCATTGGGCACATATGCTTTGGAAATGGGTTTGGAAGAGTAGTAATAAATGCCGTTTGCCCAGCACTTTGGCAAATTCAGAGTGCTCTAAAAGTGGGAGAAAAGTTGGATATGATAACAGAGATGAAGCTCATTAAGAATGAAAGTCCATCAGGTTGGAAGAAGCTACTTAGGAAGATACCTCTCTCAGTTTCTTTTAGTCTAGCTTTTTTTGCATACTGTTAATTGATTGTTTCACAAAATGACTGATTTCCCATAAAAGAACTAGTCTTGCCATCTGAAACTACAGACTTTGTTGCAGAAAGGAATTGTAATGGAAAGAAATCCGTAGTTGAGACACTTTTTTTCATGTTGTTGATACTAGGGTGTATTTATGACCCAGGTTGTCACATGGAAAAAAGTACTGTAACTCTTCACAGTCTCAGCCTTTAAATTATGTACAAATTGTATGCATGACGTTTTACAAATAACAGGGTTTCACTTAAGAATTACTGGGTCAAGAATAGAAATTTTGTCTTAAAGAAGAAATAAGCATTTAGGTTGAGTTTAAGGGTTTAATCTTAGCAGCCTGACACATTAGAAAGAAGGCTTGTGGTATACTGACTTTCTTACGTCCTCTTCAGGTGTCCGGATTCATGAACGGACGAGTGTCAGTCACGTCTCAGTCCAGAAGGGTCGTGTGACTGCAGTTGAGACCGACAGAGGACAGATTCAATGCCAGTACTTCGTCAACTGTGCTGGCCAGGTTGAATTATTGAAATTTTTCTTTCTTTTTTCCTTTGGGTAAGAACACGTGCACCTTCCTCAGGGTTTTTTTTGTTTTCCTTTTTTTTTTTTTAATGGTTTGTGCTTTGGTTTAGTTTACTGGAGTAGATGAAAGTCATTCAGCTTCTTAGACCAGCAGGGGTGTGAAGGAGGAAAGCAGCGCTTGCTGTTTGCTTGGCACCAAAGACTGGGTGTTAACCTGCTGAGGAGCACCCTGCAGCTTGTACAGCTCTGCCCATGGTCTCTGTTCTCGGGGTGCACCCTTCTGACAGGAAGAATTTTGCTTTGGCTCTTAGTGAGACAGTTAAGTCTCTCTGTACCCTTCTCTCCCTCTCTCACACACACACTGAAAGTTCCTTTTTTTGTTGTTTTTCTTAGTGTCATGTCTTCTCCAGTCCGAAAATACATCTGACGATTGCTGTTGCTCAGCTTGTAGCTGTCTGTCTTGTTAGTATAGGTCTCAGGTCTTGTTAGTATAGGCACCTAAATTCTGACTATTCTGCTTCTAGAGGCTGAGCCTGGTGTTGACTTTGGTGTACCGATCTTATTTTGCTTTTGTATTGTAAGTTGATACTTCTTAGTCTCGAATCAGGACCCCATTTTTCTAGATCTTACGTGAGGAAAGGAAAAACAGGCTTTGTCCTAAACAGTTCAAATTCCAAGCAAAGAGAAAAAATGTGTGTCTGTTTAAGATTTAGGGGACTAAACCACATCTTATTTGGCCTTTTATGAAAGCAAACCCACAGAGAGGACCTGTGCTTTTGTCCTGCCTTTTTTTAACTGGAGTTAGTTTTCTTCTTTTGCATTCTAACATGCACTTTTCTATTTCAGTGGGCCTATGAGTTGGGCCACTCTGGGGAGGAATCAGTCAATATCCCACTCCATGCCTGTGAACACTTCTACCTCCTGACACATCCTTTGAAGGAACCTCTGGCAAGCAACTTACCAAGTAAGGAATCTTCAGCTCTACCTCACTTTTCTTGGTGAATTATATCTGCCTCTCCAAGGCGGTGCATAGTTTACGACATAAAGACCAACTAAAGGCTATCAGTTCTCAGTACATTTGGGATTGTGAAGTACATTCTAGCTGAATTGCTCTGAATATCTTCTTTCAGTGGTAGAATCTCTTTCCTTACTCTTGGGAAAGCTTTCGCTGCAGAAACTGATTTTCAGAGTCGGTCATCTTAGCAGGAGGATGATCTTGACTCTAGCTTGACTAGTAGGTGTGTCTGAGACTTGGATTGTTGTATTTGTGGGCTGGAGAGGGTGCTACCCTTGGCACTATGTTTTCCTTGCAGGCTGCTGTCCCCAAATGGCCCATCTATTCCTTTCCTCCAACTGAAGCTAAGGCTTTACAATGGCATTTACATGTCTATGAGCTGTAGGGGCAACCAAAGCTCTTGAGGTAATTGCTCCTCCCCCATGTTCTGGCTTTTGGATCTCTTAGAGAAAAGCCCTTGTGTTTGAAAACTGTGGTTGGGAAGTAGAAAGCTTTGCTTACTTACTCTCAGTCTTTAGCAAGAGTTTCTGCTTCTAGTGAGTAATGTATGTACTCTCCAGGGAATTCAGTTCTGACCAGAGTCTCTGAGTGCTTCACTTTTACTTGACTGAGGTTTTTTTATATATATATAATATATAAGAGTGTGTGTGTGTATATATA